CAAATATCGTCCTTCGCATTAGATCTGTACGAATCTGTATAACGTGCAGCACATGCTTATGCTTAAATGGCGTATTTGATTTTGTAGAGAGAGACAAGAGCAAACGAGTGCGGCTTGTGTCGAAGTAGTGCACATACCCTTTTCAAGAGGCCCATGAATAATGTTACGCTGCGGTTGCGACGAAAATGACAAGTACACAATTGGTCGATTATAATGATTTCTCAACACAAAACAGACTCGACGCTGTGCCTTGCGGGGGCAGCGTTGCCGGTATTCTTTCTATTTGTGTGGAAAATAAATAATGATCAAATTACTACTGCTTTTTTCTGTTACGACAAAAGTTTTGGCAGTTCTGTAGCTCTGCAGAACTTAAGGGCCAGCCGCCGCTGACCAACGTATTCAATAGTTTGATGTAGCAGATAATCAAAATCTCACCAATTTTTTAAGGAAGAAGTACGAGGGTTATCTGACTGTAATCTGACCGATCTTCCAACAGAGAATAAACATTCCAAAACCAATTAATGCCTATTAACAGTAAAACTTTTACCTGATTAAGTGTTCCGTTTGACAAATTTTAGCTTATACTCCCTATTAATTTTCTTCAGGCTGGAGGAAAACATGGTCAGATGTACGATGGTGGACAACAAGGATATTCTAAAGGAGAGATGTCCGCCAAGGACATGAAAGGCGACCAAGGCTACTACAAAGGCCAGAACGGTGCTAAGAAGATGTACGAAGACGGAAAAATGTACCAAGGGGATCAACACTACAATAAGAATGGTAATGAGGGATATCTTGTTTGCTTATGGATAACGTAATAGATTTTACAAACCAACAGGTAAGAACGAGGGAGCAATGAAAATGCAAAAGGGTCACAAAAAGGGACATAAGATTAAGGGTTTCAAGAATTCCTCTCAGAAGCTGGAAACTGGAAAAACCGAAGAGTTCTACGATGAAGCCAACGATGAAGGTAACTACTTATTTTATATTGGATGTGTGAAGGATGTTCCCAAAATATAATTTGGCGCCATTTTTCAACAGCTCAGAGATTTTACCTTGTGCATGTATCGTCTAGAGAGCTGCAAATTTGATTAAGGATTGCATTATGCTGGAAGAGTATGTCAGAACTGTAATTATAGCACCAACAAAGATGGACCTTTCGTGGTTTCAGTTAGATACTATCAGTATGTTGCTTAACAATGTGTTCTATCATCAAGGTAGGGCCACGTTCACATTGAGAGAGAAGCTTTGGAGGTGTCACAGACAAGTTTTTTTGTTAGCTGCGCGATACACTGAAACAGCCTCTATGTTCTCAGTGACAAAGAAAATAGTGCTCCCAGATAAAGTGATTTTATTTGCATAGAACTTTGTATACTGTTAGGCACAAGTAAGAGGAACAAGTGTTCAAAATTTGAAGTGAATACGTTTGCTATGTTGCTGGACTTCCCTAATAATGTGCTGGTCCACTAAGCCATATACTTCTCATAAGATGATACTCATATATGCCTTCTTGAGGTATCTTTTTCCAAGCAAGCTGTATTTTTTTGAGGAAAATGAGGTGAAAAGGTCATTTTTCTCATTATATCCCACACATGTTCACAGAAAGATACTGTGCAAGCCTTCAGTTGAACCCCATTTCCCCAAACGTTTGAAAACAACAAGAGCAGCAGACTACAACAATAACTGCCAAATAAACCATCTTCCTTGATTTTGTGAGACATGAAAACATAAAAGAAATTAAATTTATCACGCTGTAATACTGTCCACAAATGTTCTCCATTTCTTCGTTTTGTGCCAGTCTTTGTGCGGTTCTCGTGTCCATTCCTTCACTGGACCCTCGATTACATCATTCCAAGTTCTTCTCGCCCTCCTCCTTTCTCTCCGTGTTATAGAAATTGCCTGCCTTGTGGCTTTTATTTGCCGACTGCTCGTCATTGTGAGTAGTTTTGTTTATTCAGCATCAAGATTGGCTCTATTCCCAATTCGTCTCTTATCAGCCCGCCTTTGATTCTATCCAATCTTAAAACCACATTTAACTCTTCACCTCCAGCCTGTATCTTGCTCCTTTGTCTTTGGAAGATTACCCATGTCTGGAAGCCATGATCAGGGTTCGTCTGTATTGACGTTCCTGATATCCACACTATTCACCAACTGAACATACACAAGACATAACGGAAACAAGAGCGACCTCTTTACCTTGCCTACATCAACATTAAGAGCTCTTCGAAATCAAGTTCAGCTGGCACAGGATGAGATACCTCAAGAAAGCATAAACCACCCCCTCAGAAACATTATTAGCGAAATCTAGTGATACCGTAAATATTTCTACTTTAACATTTAGTCACGCTCTTACTTGTATCTAACTGTATACAAAACTGTATATCATTTCTGCTGGATCCTCTATTTTATTTTCATGGAGCATAGTATCACATAGACATTTTGAGGTGTCTAATTTATTCAAAAGTGCTCTCCTCATCTAGTACCTGGGGCTCTGATGAAAACAACAATTACTAACAGGAGAATACTTTACCTGGTTAACTTACTTAGGGTCCATTTTCTTGGAAAGGTACTTTGTAACTCTTAAGGCCCATACTCACGAAAGTCCCACCCTGCTCAATCCAGCACTTGAAAGCTCAACCCAAGCAGTCTAAAACGGATAACGTTGTTTCTTAATTGCTCAAAATGACATTATTCTTCAACATATCTTTTTGAAACACGGGCAAATTCGTGGTGGCGTTCGTATTCAATATTAAATTTCCAGCAGAGCAAGTTGGACTTCAAGTTGCTTTTGAGCTTTTACAACATGGGCAAATTCATGACGGTGCTGATATCATATACCACGTTCTCAGCAAAATACGTTGTTTTTCGGGTATAGTAAGGGTTCATCCACTTGACGCCATCATTTCCACATTTCAGGAGACCACTACATGTACAACGGCCAATCAGGAAGCTTCGGCGAGAAGGCTGGATCTGCATATCATGGGGGCAAGCAGGAAGGCAAATTCAATCATGAGTCAGCCGGCAAGGAAGGGCACTTCAACAAGGGGTACTTCCAAGACAGTCACAAAGGGAACAGTGGCAGATACGGAGAGAAGAAGTTCAACGAAGAAGGAGGCATCTATGGCTTCAATAACGGTGCAGGCGTCACTAATATGGCTGGTCATGATATGCACAAGAGCTTCTTTAAGAAACATCCATTCTATCACAATTATTATTGAGGCTGATAAACTGGTGAGGTGTAACTTATTCAAGACTGGCATTTGTTACTAATATGAAATTTTCGAGGTAATTTTTGTATCACTCTCATAGAATGTACGAGGTCAGCTTAGGTCAAATATGCCTTTGCCGTGATGAGTGCAACATTTTGCACTCTATCGGTCACGTTTTGCAAAATACTTTTCTGATTTTTTGTCTTCTGTGCGAGAGCTTCATAGGAGCTTTGATTAAAGTACTGTCAGATATCGAATAGAGTTAGGAACAAACAGATGCAGAAGAAATAAATGAAGGGGGAGGGCAACGAGGCGGCAGAGCGTCAGCTAAAAGGCGTATCATTTTTGATTGATCTAGACTCTAGAAGAATTTACATTAGATGTTCTTGAAAATTTCAACTCTGCTTTGTCGTTTTGTGTACTTCAGCAAAACATAAATCCGAGTAGGGATAGAAAAAGAGTATTCCCGAAAATTTTTGTTTCAAAATTTATGTGCAACTAAGCTGAAAAGCGGCTTCCATATTTCGCGATAACACATAGCTTCATTAGGAAATGATGTTAAATTTACAATTTCTTCTCAATATGCTGCTATGCGGCTTATAATATTCTGTAAGATCTATTTCAAAATTATCTTATTTCACCCCCTTCCAATCGAAGGGCTGTGACACATCAACGGCACTAGTTCCTAAAGCACGGACCATGCAGGTACCAGTAATAGGTCTCTCATGATTTCAAAAGCAGGGAAAACATTTTTTCAGTTAATTTATCATATCAATCTGCTAGTGCTTTTGATACCATTGTCTAGTAGGAACATTACCAAAGCAACTAACAGGGTTAGTTCAATTTTTATGGGGATGATGCGTTTACTCAAAGTCGCATTTGTTGTTGTAATTTTTGATGTTTCATACGACTTCAAGTAACTTGATACATGAGCTTTTTAAAGAAAGCTTGAAAGGTTTTCATTTTTTTTTTATGTTACCTTGAATACTTCTGCTGCGGTTATTGGTACAAAAAGGTATGCGTATATAAACTGATTTTTTTTGTTAGAATCATTCATTCCTCAACGCACAGGCAGCGCCACAGCGTAACTTTTGGACGTTGCTATCAAACTCTGAATTGAGCACTTTAGACAGAAACTGAATGCATTATATATTTTATCCTTCAATGAATGACTTAGGAACAAAGTCGGTAAAGTGTTTGTGTAATTAGAGTAATCATGTCCACGATAAGCACTGTGTGCTAAGAGTGTGTAAAAATAAACGGATAATTTTGGATTTGTGATAGTTACGCCTTTGAAAATACGTGATATAAACACCTCACCTTATTTAAATCGTATCATTACATTAGACATGCCATTAATTTATTGATTTCAGAAATTTGGTCGTAGTCAAAACCTTGTTAAATTATTGTTGCTTATTTATGTATATTTTGTGTTACATAGCACGAATAATTGTATCTAAAACGAATATAGATATAAATGAACAACATGAGTTTTAATTTTAATAGCTCATATACTTCTTTAATCTCTTAGCATATATACTGTGTGCTAAGAGTGTGTAAAAATAGACGGATAATGTTGGATTTGTGCGTTTTTGAAAATACGTGATAGAAACACCTCACCTTATTTAAATCGTATCATTACATTAGACATGCCATTAATTTATTGATTTCAGAAATTTGGTCATATTCAAAACCTTGTTAAAATATTATTGCTTATTTATGTATATTTTGTATTACATAGCACGAATAATTGTATCTAAAACGAATATAGATATAAATGAACAACATGAGTTTTACTTTTAACAGCACATATACTTCTGTAATCTCTTAACATACAATAATAATTTACACTCAACAGTTCTCTACCTATATCTAGCGTTAAAATAAATAACATTTTCATCGAGTATGCCACACTGATCACATTTTGATATAGTAAATAACGCTAAGTGAACACCGATGAATGGAATGGAAGTCAGGCCTAGATCGATAGTCATACCTTCGAGGTTTGCTTATTTTGATGACGCGTCATTTGCCTAGAGAGTTATGACATTTGAGAAACAGGAAGCTGATACATTGAGTTAAATGAAGGAATGACTTCGCATTGGCAGCACAAATGGCATTATAGTTAGTCATTGCTACATGCTACAAAAAATTATTGCACAGCTTTACTTTTTCAACACAACCAATATTATCAACCGTCAACACTCGAAAGTTGTACCGAAAGCCCCAATGGATATAAGCTACCCACAGTGTTACCAGGTTACCGATTTTTTCGGTAGATGTACCGATTTTAATCCTGTTTTACCTTAATAAAAAACTAAATCTTGAACTACCCTTTTCTCTATTCCAGAAGTGATTGATCCCTTTATTTCTGTTGTGAAATCACTAAAATGCTATTGTACTGTTGGAGGGTATTTAAATATAGTCGAAATCACCAAAGACGACGATGATCATTTTAGTCTGTAGTAAAGACAAACGACAGCGATTTGTGAATATTTTTAATGAAGTTTCAGATATGTTAGACAGAGACAAACATAATTGTATGGTCTAAACAAACTGTATTGCTAAATTGCACCTATGCGCATGTATTCTACTCATAACTGTAGTTTTTTTTCAAAACTCCCCACTAAAATTATTGTGAAGGTATTACTCAAAACCATAAAATAAAACGAAAATAAAAATAATCTGTGAAATAACCTAACTTCGCCAAAATCATAATATAAGTTTGTTGTCATTATGTTCCTGACATCGTGATTTTATCATCGACCTAAGTCCACTGATTACTTCAGTACAATTTATGGCATGACGTAATAGTCATCTTTCGTGATTTTGACTATAAGTAATATCATAAGGGCATCTAATGTTTCTGAAAAAAATAAAGAAAACAGGTTGCTAAGCAATATCTTGTTAAAAAAATATTATTTTGCATTGTGTTTTTTCGATTGTTTTCCCAGAAAACAATTAGATGTCTGAATGGTGTCTGATAAGACTGTTTCATGAGTAACAGATTATTCTGCATTCAGTTAGTTTACAAAATTTATTGACAATAAAATCAGAAAAAGTGTTTAGCGTCTTTTCTAGTGACTTAGGAGATCATAATTACTTGTTATCAAATGTATTATAATTTTTGGTGACAACAGTTGTCAAGTTTTGCCGCGGGTGAACTCAAAAAAACTGCTGACAGGTGCTGTCATACAATTTTTCCATCTAGAAACCATTTGTAATTCAAAATTGCCCATTTCTTATTGGTTCAAGTTAAGACGAGGGGAATAGTCACATGTAAACATTATCCTGCTGTAAAGGGTGTCACAATCTTGTTAAACTAAAAAGTGGTTGCCGATTTCTAAATTTCAGCATAATAGACAAAGTTTGTGACAGTAAAAAGATTTGTTCACTTACGTGTTATGGACGTTTTTGCTAGAAAACGTTTTTTGATTAAGTCAGAGGAGGGGTGTGTTGATTTCCCTATTGGATTCATGTTTTGATACATTTTAATTCAGTCAATAGGTCCTTCACGTAAATGCCTCTGTTTGGTACTCCATCTACTGAAAGAAAGCACAATCTACTGGAAAATTTGGCACAATTCTACCGAAAATAGATCTTCTGTACCTGGCAACACTGGGCAGTCGTGATATAGATAATCACTACGAGGGCGGTCCGATAAGTACTTAGCCTCACCGCCGGATGGTGCCATTATCCCAAGAGAAATTTACTGTCGTGTAGTACATTTCGAAGTTTTGCTTTGACCGCGTGTGGAAGCGGGCGTGTCTATGGTTGTTAGAAAAAAGGCAAAAGAGCAATATCGGTCGGTGATTCGATTCTCGATTTTGGAAGGGAAATCGCGCAGCGAAATTAAAGAGCATTAGGATGCTGTATACGATGACTCTTCTCATTAGGTGGCAACTGTCAAAAATTGGTCTAACAAGTTTCAACGTGGTCAAACGTCGGTTTTTGATGAGCTACGCCCACCTGACAAAAACCCACAATCTCGTATTGGCAGACGACCGATTGAAGATGCGCGAGATAGCTAAGACAGTAGGCATATCAAAAGATCGCGTGGGTCATATCCTGCATGAAATATTGGGCACGAGAAAGCTGTCTGCCCGATGGGTGCGGCGCTTGCTCACTCCTGACAAGAAGCGCAACGATGAGACCACTTCAGGGCATTGTTTACGCGCAACCCAAACCACTTTCTGTTTTGTTTCGTAACTGTCGACGAGACAAGGATCCACTGGTGCACACCAGAGATCAAGGAACAGTCGAAGCAGTGGTCTTTACCGGGCAAACGTGCACCGAAGAAGGCGAAAGCTGTTCTGTCGGCCAAAAAGGTAGTGACCACCGTTTTCTAGGATTCACAAGGTGTGATTTATATCGTCTACCTGGAGAAAGGAAAACGGACACGTGGCCCTCCTATGCCGAATTATTGCTCTTCCACCATGACAACGCACCGGATCACACCTCCACAGCCAAATTGGTCGAGTTAGGCTACGAATCATCCAGCATATTCTCCAGATTTGGTTCCGTGGGACATCTTTGTGTTTCCAAACTTCGAAAAGTCACCCGCCTGGCAGAAGTTTGAGTCGAATGAGGAGGTTGTCGTCGCCTACTTTGTAGACCTCCAGAAAACGTATTTTTCATATGGCTTAAAGAGGTGGGAGTATCACTGGGTCAAGTGTATCGAGCTTAGAGAAGACTATGTTGGGAAATAGATCGGCACTTTTCCAAAATCTTTTTTTTCTTTTGTCGGCTAAATACATATCGGACCGCCCTCGTATGATAACTTGTGTACTAGGGATAGTCGCTGTCTCACATCGCGCCTACTCGCTGTGAACGCCACGTCTGGAGGAACGACAACGATCTATATTACTATATTACTTACAGCTTAGTCGTGAGAAGCTATGAATGGTCTTCGCTAGTGCCATCTCTGAAGCAGATGTTTTAACATTATATCAGAGCGACAGAGTATAGCTCAAGCATCTTGATGTTTAGGCAACACACACACACCACCACTGCAAGTGAACATGAAGCAAGTAGGGCGATCAGGTCGCTATCCCTGTTATTTTACGGTTAAGTAATAAGGTTGCCGCATCCTTTGTTCTAGAAAGCATTGAAAGCAACCTCTGTACAGGACACCATCGCCGTTTCCGTTTGTTGTGCACTTCCTGATGTTCACTTGCAACTAAATTATAAAGAAGTGGCTTCCGTGTGAAACCCTGATGCTTAGAAAGGGAATGAGTGTGACGTCAGATAAGACATCGCTTTGATAACGGATCAGTTTGAAAAACGAAAATACAGGCTTTGACAAGCTTAGAGCTAGATTATATCACACAATAAATTGCAAACGAATAAAATAAATTTGTTTGTATATTAAAGAAGTAATGTAGTATCTCTTAGATGTAGATAAAAAAATAGCGACATACATGAAGTCGAACGATGATTGTCTTTCCAGTTTCTTACACACAGTAGTCTGTACTCCAAACAGGCAACATATTTTACAAACCTGGACCTACTGGATACTTTCTACCATATACAATATTAAGATTTAAGATTATCTTGGTTTATTCATTATTTAACTTTAGCCGGATAGTCAGCGGAAACGTCAATAGAGTATTTATTTATATGTACATATGTTTGATTATGAACCTTGTGGTCATGACATAATTACGAAGTTAATTTTTCCCTATATGTGAATATCGAGTTCAAACTTTTATAAATGACGACATACAACTCAATGCTTCGATAGGAATTAACAAAAACTATATTTTACTAAAAAAGGTAGAGGAAAATATTAAAACAGATGAGTTTCTACTCAAGCAGGACTAATTAACTTTGATAGCTTCGTTTGTGATATGATTGAACAATTGTTAACATCACAAACGACATCACCTTTTCTGCTTTCCCACCCTATTCCTGTAACTATGATGTCTATAATAACAAATCTACATATCACACTTCATATTTTGATGTACCCTCAAGATAATTATAGATTATAATATTACATATCTTACATTTTTATATATTTTAATAGCTATGCGAAACTATCGAGAAACCCTGTTCATGGATCCAATGCTTGTTAACTTTTAACAACCATTTAGTAGCTTATGATATACCATATACATATACATATAAAGCATGCTGTGGCAACAATGTCAACGTTTCATCTATGTTTTTGTTCACCTTTGTTAAAATATTGTCGCTTTGTTTTTGTGAAGAAAGCAGTTTCTGAGAGCCGAGCAGTACAGATATTTATTATTGCCCTTTCATTTACTAGTGTTAAGCATAACAAAATGCCTCTAGGTCGAAGACGTCCAAACTGTCATCATGTTAGCGACTTTGACAGGGGTAGAGCTTACATACCTTATTACATAGAGTCATAAATGAAGCATGAAGCATAATAGTTTATACGTTGATAAAATATTCCTAGATTTGAAGTTTTGTATACCTACCTGGTAGGCCAGATTTAGTATAGGATAACAACGATGTTGGGAGTATTAAGGTTGCATATCCATTCTTTCCAACTGTCTGTTTAAAGTAGTATTTTCAATTTTTTAGACAAAAATTCATTTCTGTGCATTTCATTGTGCATTTTTTCTTCAATCGTAACAAATGCTAATACAGTTCTGAAGATGTACATCATAATTCCACTTTTATATTAAAATTGTACAGATGATTACTTCCAATTTTACCATTTTTTCCATTCGAAAACTCAGTTTGCTGTAGAATGAGGTTTCAAGAAAAGCAAACATTTTTTGAAGGTAGAAAGTAAAAAAACAGTAATTCTTCCATTACAGTGGAATATTCACATGCAATTTTAGTACCGTACTATTATCTGTTAACTTGAAATTGAAGAGAAAATGAATATAAATTCACAAAAAAAAAGATTTTTTGACGAAGAACATTGTTTTTCTATACACACCATAGGACAGTCAGACGTAAAGTATTAAGAATTCCCGTCCAGAAAGGCTGATATGCTGAATAGTACTAGCCATGGGATTACTTTGTCAGTTTGGCATGAGTTTTCACTTTGCTGTCAGATGCACCACTGGATCGTCCAAACGTTAGAAAGGTTGACTAATTGGAAAGGTTACCTCAGAGGAAATAGTGAACACCAATCCAGAAGCTGGTCGCGTTGGACATCTTTAGACAGCTCTTACTAGAATATTTTCATGCTATAATAAATCTGTGACCCTGTACATTGAAGACTTTCCATATGCTTTGATAATTGAATAATAAACATTTTTAGTAAATTAGAATTAGAATTATTATAATCTTAAGAATTTTACAGTTTTCTAGATGACTATCCTATAGTCAAATAAATTCTGCAAAGGCCCAAAAAATAAAAGTATTATTTTAGACCTAAAGCTTTTGAAGCCGATCTAGTCGAAATACCTCATTAATCAATCTGACATTGAGCCAGAAATACACCTTGCGACATCAGGTGGGCCGAGATTGTAGACCATTAGAGGAAGCCTCTTTCATGGCACAAATATGCACGGGAAGCCATATGTACTATTACCATAAAGGCAAAAGTGCGCGGATGCATATTGCCTCTCTTAAACTAGCTAATGATTGAAATCACAGATGATTATAAAAGATAACGTAGTCTGGCAGTAAGTATCTTGAAGAAACAAATATATTATGTGCCTAAATTTGGCCAAAACTAAGATTTCTCGATCTGACTTGGTGGGTCATATCTCAGATCGGCCTCAAAATTTTTAATTCCTCAGATAATTTTATTCTGGAATTCAAGACTATATTGCAAATTGCGTAGCTTTAGTGCATACTTTGGATTCATTTGACTACCAATGCTTGTCAAATTACCGGTGCAAACATCCCTTCATCGGGCTTGTGTCGCTCTTTGCAAATTATCAAAGAAGGACCATGTCTTGGAATCATCTAACACGATACACAATTATCTGTAAACTCTCGCACTCTTGAAAAATAACACTAATAATATGAATTTGATGACAGATGTGTAAAAAATTAGCTTATGTCAGGTGCATTTGTAGCATGCACCTTGATCCTCTTTACAGACTATGATAATAAGTATAAAACAGATCCGTGACTGGCTCTTTCTAAATTTGTTGGCGGGGCTCAATACTTTCCAGTGACAGGTGTAGGTGGAAATATTGCCAAGAAAGCTAAAATTCAGATTTTTCCGAACCTTGAAACTTTGAGCGCGTCCTCAGAGTGAATCGTTGAACCAAGGAATTTGAGATTTCACAAAGGGCCAAGGCTCAATAGCATCTTTGCAGAAAAAAAGATCAAGCCCGATATGACTCATGACCCGCTCTTTAGCATCATGAAAATTGGCTAATTTTGGTTCAAAATATCGTAAATTGGATCCAAAGGCCTATCCGACCAGTTTGACGGCCCGAGTACAAAATTCCTTTCACATAGGCCAAATATAAAAAAACAATTATTTTGTGCATGTTTTGTTTCGGAAGGCATTTGAATTGCCAGTCCCATAAACTAGTGAAAAATTCGAAAATACCAATTTTGACTGAAATATCTGCCGAACGAATTATTATATCGTAGTCATTTTTGACTTCCTTGGACAATTGTACGAGTACGTTGCAATAGTTGAGTATGGGGCATAATGACAGGAGTAGCGAGAAAATGGGAAAGTTGCCAAAACGTTTGACATAAGATTTACCTCCTTAGGTATTCCCTACGGAACATTGGGCCCAATCTGAGATATGATCGACCAAGGCCGGTCATGGAATTTTAGTATTGATCCATACAAAAAGTGTCCCAACAAGAGCGCCGGATTTGAATTTGCCGCATTTTTTTTTGTACAAATAGTATGGTGTTTACTTGATGACAGCTGTCATGTCCAGATCACGCGATTAGATGACATGGAGTATTCAAACGAGCAACGTTTAAATACAAAAATGGAGAAAATAACGTTGAAACAGTTCGCAAGTTACGTGCAATTTTCGGTCGCAATAATGCGCCAAATGAGTCGACAGTTCGCAATTACAAAATTTGAGACAAACAATGTGAAGAGCACTGTTCGTCGCCGTCCTGATTGGTCCCACGAAAATATAGTCACAGTGCAGGAAAGTGTGGTCGAGATTCCAGGCACTTCCATTCGACATCGTGGCCACGAATTGAACCTTACCAGACCTACTCTGCAACGACTTTTGACGAAAGATCTGTACTTGCATGCGTACAAGGTTCAACTGACGCCAGAACTCGAGCCAACGGACCATGCCCAGCGCCGTGAATTCGTTGATTGAGCGCTGGAGCACCACCAAGTTGATGCGGATTTCTCAGAGAAAATCATTTTGTCTGAGGAGGCCCATTTTCAATTGAATGGGTACGTCAATACGCAGAACTGTCTAAATTGGAGTTCTGAAAACTTTCGTGTACTAATCGAACAACCAAAGCATCCACCGCGAGTGACCGTTTGGTGCCCATTGTGGACTGGACCGTGTTTATCCGAAAATGCAGCTGGAACTGCGGTAACCGTTAATGGTGTGCGGTATCGCGAAATGTTAACAGAGCTTTTGTGGCCTCAGTTTTATCGAATCGAAGTTTCCAGACCGTGTCATCTCTCGGTTTGACGCTCAAAATTAACCACCTAGATCGTGCGATCTAACACCAATGGAGTTCCTCCACTGGGGCTATGTGAAAGAAGAGGTGTATGCGAACAAGCCACAAACAGTTGAATGCCTTAAAGAAGAGAACAGCGCGTTATCGACGAAATAGAGCCACAATTGTTCTGAAACGTTATCCAGAATTTTAAGAAAAGACTGATCCCGTGCCAGAGGTTTCGCGATGGCCGTTTACCGAATTTCCTATCTCATGTTTAATCGCAACTATTGTATTTTTCTTGAAAATCAAATCCGGCACCCTTACTGAGACACCCTTTACTGTCTTATTGTAACTAACTGCAGAAGTTGCTTCTAGTAAATATTTCCGTCACGGAATAGCTGCTTCCATTTCTCAACTGCTTGTAATATCAGATCACCCTAAGCAGAGCATGTGACAGTTTTGGCAATGCTGTATCAGGCGTGAGAGAGGTGAAGCATGTACCGTAGATTTCTTGTCAAACTACGAATCAGTATGCCAATACGACTCCGAATTAACCTAAGCTCATATAGGAGCCGCGGAGCTAGCTCTAAGGGAAGCGCTGGATATATCGTTGCTCTCGATCCACTTGGCTAGCTCGATGGGAGCCTCCGGTTTCTGTTTCTTCACAGCCTCAACATCACCAGAAGAGCTGAGCAGCTCAGCCATGACGTCTTCAGCATTGCAATTGACCACTCGGACTCTGCACAAGACGATTGCGTTTATAAATCGATCCTTTGGAGTGATGAATCGGTGCTCCATGTACACGTTTTGGTCGTCCCAATAAATAAGCTGCAATTTGGAAATGGGGGTTAGTAATTGGTTGTTTGCACGAATGTCTATTCCAGACGAATTATTTTCAGTAATTATGGTTTATGGCATTTAGAAATATGAACGTTGGTCTAGGATGTGTGCGAATAGTACAGTTTTCTGAACAAGTTTTACAGTAAAACGCAGAGTTTTCTAAAAAGCCCCCCAACTTTTTGTTTTAATAAAACACTAAGCGCATCAGTAGGAGTTCTTTTTTTTTTATGAACTGGCATAAATTATGAAACACAAAATGTCATTACGTCCACAGAAGATTCAAAATGGAACAGAGGGAAATTCTCCCGACGGCATACACAACGTGTATCTATCCTGTGGATAAATGGCGCAATGTTAATACATTAAATATACTTCATTTTAAAACTTCTCACCACGGATTTATCGAAAACCAGTAATTGAAAGGAAGGGGGGAAACTTATTACCAAAAACTACTTCCCCCCTCTCACCCTCGGCCCCCAGGGTCATTCCCTTGAACATTTTAAATAACAAAGGCTGTCGAGTAATAGCTTGTTTGAAAGGTCTTTCAAGGTTCTTTGTATTGACGTTTAATTTTTTAAAATCAGTCGTTTCGTTTTCAGAAAATTAGAAAAATCTTTATTTATCTTAATTTCGTTATGGTTTGTCAAATCTACAATTCGTTTATAATTTAAAATGGAAACTACCAACATAAACAGCAATTCGGAAGATTAGACGTGGCAACAACCAAATAACAACCCGAATTTTTTCCGCATCCTTTCAACACAGATATCATGAGCGAACTGTATTTATTATTATACTTATTTAGTTTGTTGCTATGCGAAAGAAATAATTCAATTTGCAGTCGGTTACTATTGTGACAATCTTGGGGTGGTGAAATTTATTGATTCAGATTTTACTTCCAAAATGGTTTACACACAAGCCGAAACAGTGGAAATGATTCTAATTTATGGTGCCCAAAATCAATGTGATCGGCAAACCACCGTCACGTTTAACGCCAGAAATCTGGGTAAGATAACTTTGCATAGGTATGTTTTGGACCTTGTTACAAAATCTACTCTAACTGAATCTGTTACAAATAAAAAACATGATCATCGGAGAGCTTTGAATGAAGCCGCTCAAGTTGAAGTTCTGGGTCATTCTGGAATAAATCCTAATACTTCATTACGCAAAATTGTTGCTACAGCTGGTATTTCATTAGGCTCTGTACACACAGTTGCTAAACTCCATAAATTACATCCATTCGAAATACAAATATTGCAAGAGCTAACCGAAGACGATTTCGATAGACGAGTTAAGTTTTGTGAACAAGTGACTGTAGCGGTTAATGATAATACTATTCATGTAAAGAATATCTGCTTCAGTAAAGAATGCACTTTTTATCTAAATGGATTTGTTAATAAGCATAACTGCGGGTATTGGAGCAACGAAAATCCTCATGCTCTTGTAGAAGCGCATACCCAGTACCCCCAAAACAAATTTATGTATGAGCAGGCATAGGAAACAAAGTAACTGGACCATTGTTTATTAATGGAAATTTGAATGGAGACATTTATTTGAATATGTTGGAAAATACCATCAACCCGCTTATCACTGAAACCATTAAAAACCAAATCGAAGATGATGGAAACCCTATACTTGATATTGCTGAAATATATTTCCAGCAAGATGGCGATCCAACTCACTATGTTCTTTCGGTTCGGCATTGGCTAGACGACGACCTTACCAGATAAATGGCTAGGACGAAGAGGCCCTATAGAATGGCCTGCCAGATCTCCTGATTTGACGCCATTAGACTTTTTTCTATGAGGCCGTTTGATATATATTGTGTTTACTCCCCAACCTGAAAGTTTGGATGAAGTTCGTCAACGCATCATCGAAAGTTGTCATGATATCCCACATGTTTTTGAAAATGTCCCTCAGGAATTGGAACTTCGCCTATATCATTGCTTTGCCAATAATGGGCAACATTTTGAACACATATTGAAATAAAAAGTGATATTTTCGTGTGTTTTTGTTTTCTATCTGAACAATTTAAGATGAATGAAGATTTTTCTAATTTTCTTGAAAACGAATCGACCGATTTAAAAAAATTGAACGTCAAAATAAAGCACGTCAAAAAACCTTTCAAACAAGCTGTTGATCGATATCCCTTGTGAGTCAAAATTATTAAGAGGATGATCCTTGGGGCAGAGGGTGAAACAGGCTGAAGTAGATTTTTGTTGTTTTTCTTTCCATCAGCGGTTTTCGATAAATCTCAAATGAGTATCCTGTATATTTTTTAAATCTTAGTGACGCGACCATTTTCAACACTTTTTTCAACGAGTCAAGCTAGCAAGCTGGAATTTGGTATGATAGAGTTGATGTATGCGTACTATATTTTAGCGTAAAAGTGGTGGTTGAAAATCCCTTTATGGCATCTGGACGGCATCTTGGATACTATTTAAATGGAAAGGTGGGTCATGTGACATCTTATTTAGAAGCTGCCAATGAGTAATTTTCCACTGAACGTCGACTTTTCAGTGAACATTTAGATAGACCCTTTTAAAAGAAGAACATTGATATAACGTACTATATTTTGATGATTAGTTGTTGAGTTATAAAGGATTCAATGTACAAAAACGCTCAACCTTGACATCCTGCGACTCAGCGATTTTGAAAGGTAGTAAATTCACATTCCAGGACTATAATGTACTGCTAAGGAGCTTTAAGATATACTTCAAGAAGCACCGAACGGGTTTATTAAGTATTTTAAAGATGTGCTAAGAATGTGAAATAAAACTGCGATTATAATTAATCGGCTTTTGAAGAAACCTCAAAGCTGTAATAAACTTGTCTTCAGCTTAAAAGGGAACACACTGAAAGCTATCAATAAAACAACAAAAATGCCTCGAAAACTTTATCATCTGAGCAACACTTTATTAAGCTGCTGTAGAAGTACTTTCAAAACCACCTCAAATACATTTTAAACACAAGCAGTTATAAGGTGAGACAAATGCATTAATTTGATGGGGCTCAGTTTTAATACCGCCTGCTAATTAAAACACATAGACAAGATTAAAGGGTCATGCCACTAAGTATTTATATATAACATTTTTAGCAGTTTCTTTGAAGGCTCAAAATTTAAGCAAAACGTTGAAAAAGTCGACACCAACTAGTCTTCTAAGGTCGTGTATGATCTGGAATTATTTTAATTGTGAATTATTGTCACTGTGAATACCTTGGGATGGTTTGAAGGGATCATATTTTTTAAATGTAATAGTCACGCCACTACAGGGTGGCGCATCGAAAACGAAACAGACGCATTTACTGGCAGCTCAGTTTTTTTTCTGAAAAACGCTCAGGCTCGTCGAATTTGTTTTCGAGAGGGACACAAGTTTGGAAAAAAATCACGTTAGCACGTGTAGTCCCCTAAGCGGGGGTGACACCACCCCCAAAATCTTAAATGGAAAGGGGGGGTCGAGTGATACCTTATTTTAGAGGTCTTTCAATTCCCTTTATAATACTGTAAAATTAATGTACTTCAGTTCAGTAGTTTTGAAGATTTATTGATTTAAAGCTTAAATGAAACTAATATAATACGTCATCAATAGCGGAGATCACATTTGGCAGCAAAGTAATTTAAAAATGAAGAATGAACTGACCCGTTAAGTAAGTAAATGTTGAAAATGGCCACCATGACTCTTCATGCAATAATAAAGATTTTGCTCAAAACGTTGCCGTACATTTTGCATTATTTGAGGAGTAATTTGAAGGCACTCATTTACAATTCTTTGTTGCAGGTCTTCTAATGATGTTCGGTGATGGGCATAGATTTTGCTTTTTAAATGACCCCACATAAAGAAATCCAAAGGTGATAAATCTGGCGATCTTGGGGGTCATTCAATGGCATCTCCTCTACCAATCTATCGATCTGGATACGTCTGATCTAAATATTGTCGAACACGTAATGCATAAGGTTATGACTGTTAATGCAGGATCTATGGCGTCTTCCAGTAATTCCAAATACATTTCACAGGTCAAATTTCCAGGTAAGAAAAAAGGACCTACTAAATGATCGCCAAAAATACCAGCCCAAACATTTCATTTTTGTGGCTGCTGTGTATGAACCTCATGATACACTCTTGGATTAGAATCGGACCAATATCGGCAGACGATTTACTACGTCATTTGAGAAAAAGCAACATTCCTCAGAAAAGCAAGTGTTGAAGAGAAAATGTTCATCGTTTATAATTCGTTCACACATTATCTTCACAAAATTGTAATCGCCGATCAAAATCGTCTTCATTAAGTTCTTGTACCAGGTGAATTTTATACGGATGAAAACTATGGGCCTTTAGAATCCGTGGGACAGCACGTCGACTAACACCACACACAGTCTCCAATTTGCGGGTACTTAACGTAGGATCTACATAAACTTGCCCTAAAGCCCCCACTTCTATTGCTTCGTTCCTCATGGGATTTTCAATGTTGCGTTTTTTATTGGCGACTGACCCAGTTTCCCGAAATTTAGCTACAAGTTCTAGAACATATTTTCCATGCCCGTTACTGTTCTCATGTCGCTCATTAAATATTTCTGCTGTTCTATTAGGGCACTGATTATTACCGAAAAATATTTCGATAATTTCAACTCTTTCTGCTGTGGAATATACCATGGTTAATTTATGTAATAAAGCATTACAAGTTATTTTAGCAACAAAGTTTGGTCAAATCAATCGCAAACTATCTACTAAATTCCTATTTAAAATAAGTACGAGATATTTCCTTATCTTTCTTCAAGAAATAACTTGTTTGCCACAAAAAGACGCTCCAATAGCTATTTTCAACAACAAAATGATAAACAAACCATGGGCGTAGTGAAGAAAAGCATTTACTTATTAAGTAAATCCTTTTAGTCAAATTTCTTCTGAAAGTAGTACAAACTAATCCGATGTACCTATTAAAGTCTACTTTAAGCTTTAAATCAATAAATATTCAAAACTGCTGAACTGAAGCTCATGAATTTTACATCATTATAAAGGCAATTGAAAGACCTTTAAAACAATGTATCACTTGACCCGCCTTTCCATTTAAGATTTTACTGTTGGTGTCACCCCCGCCCAGGAGGCTGCACGTGTTAACGTGATTTTTTACCAAACTTGTGTCCCCCTTGAAAACAGTATCGAGGGGTCTAAGCATTTAAAAAAAAAACTGAGCTGTCAGTAAATGCGTCTGTTTCGTTTTCGATGCGCCACCCTCTATCAATATATAAACTTATCGTGATCAAAAAGTTTAGGTTAATAAACGCTTCCTTACAACGCTGACTTGTCCTACTTTGTATCACTGCCGCTTGAAAAATGACAACAAAAACAGTGCTAGAGATTCACTGCACCCGAACATTCCATCCTACCAGCTTACAGGAAAGAGATTAGTACATTAATTGCAATTTAACACTGTCTTTTTCCGAAAAAGTGTCTTTAAAAATATTGTGAATATACGATCACATTTTTTGTACTTTCAAAATGAACCTACCAAATGATTGGACTATTTCATGACCTTCCTGTGATCTGCTCTCTCAAAGGAAGACTGCCACTAGATGACCGTATCGCGTTGTCTTTATTTCGCATTATGTTGGCTTTTGGCACTGCCAGAAGCATTATTAAAAACAATGTCACCTAAAGATCAACTCATCATTTGAAAGCGGGGCATCATGATAGGGGAAAGTGGGTATTACTGTGTAATATCCAATCTTCCGAAAGCAAGACTACTTGTACAGAGAAACATGTTCATGCGTGCACACTTATCGATTGATTAGAATTGGAACTATAGTAGTATACCAAAATTGATGACAGTAGCGAAACTCATCGAACGCCACTGCTATTACGCGGAGGCCTTCGAAAATGCGACACTTCTTTGTGAAATGTCGGTAAACGTCGCTATAATCAATAGGTACAGCGTCAAAGCAGTAGCGCACGATGACTTCTGCTACTGTCATCAATTCTGGTATTTGACTATAGCCCATACCGTGACTTGGATATAAGCACATTCTTCTTACAAGGTATGCGAAGGAGGTGTTAAATCAATACTACTTACTCTTGTGGTTATATAGTAACGGCTAAACAATTTAATAAATCTTCTATATCGTATTGTGGTCCCGCCTAGAAACAACTGTCCCCCGCGGCTTTTTACCAGATGGTACAATCCAGTTCGAAAGTTAAAATCCATTTTTGCGAAATCCAACTCTCTGATGAATCTGGCATTGTTCATATGATCCAGAAGATAATCTATGTCAGTAGTGAGGCATAACCCTGAAAAGAAATGTAACGTTAGTGAGCTATATCTCAACTTTAACCAAACCTTTTGGATTGGAAATTCTAACAGAAGTATTCCTTTGGGAGTCTTTCAGTTTCAATTCGTATCCATACATTTTTTTAAACCATGATACAGTCATTAATATTATAGAGTCAACATACCATACGTCATTTTTCAAAAGTATGTACCATGTATTGCAACCTGACAAAGCCGATTGGCTTGTTCCGTTTTTACCGGCGTTGCCGTATTTACCTAGAGTTCTGCACTCTCCTGGTAGTCAAATCAAATCACATAATGCCTCAAACTACGCAAATGAGTTGTACTTGCTGCAAAAAACCTGGAGATGACAACAAGTTTGTGAGCTGTTCTGTGTGCAAGAACCACTATTTTTACAGCTGCGTTGAGTTATCCCAAAATTATCTGATCTTCGAGCATCGGTCATTTCTTTACAAGAGGAAATAAACGCTCTCAAGTCTACACGCACTGACACAGCCCAGATATCACCGCCTGTCGACTATGAAGATATAATTCAAGAAATAAACGACAGACAGTCTAGGAAGAAAAACTTAATGTCTAATCTTGCAAGCTGACCTGAATCATATAATATTTGAATGGTGATCAACTAATAAATTATTTTTGAATGTTAGCAAATGCAAAACGCGTTCTTTTACCAGGAAGATGAAGCCAATAGTTTTTGATTAAACACTGGAAGGTGTCAGTTTGATGCGTTGTTCAGATGTAAGAGATCTAGGTGTGTTGTTTGATGTTAAATTAAAATTTACAGGTCATATTAGTACAATAGTATCATCCGCATATAAAAATTCTCGGTTTTTTGATAAGCAACTGTAAATCGTTTGGTAGTGAAAGGGCACTGAAGGCTTTATACTGCACCTTGGTGCGTTCTAAGCTGGAATATGCATCTAGTGTATGGCATCCATATTCCCAAGTCTATACTAATGAAATTGAAAGTGTACAGAGCAGACATTCATCATGATAAAGTCAAAGATATATTAGCTGTATTCAGCGACTATTATTATTCAATTTATAACATTTAAGACATGTGAGTAGGTGCAGCTATTAATTTTTTTTCAGAAACTGGGCGAGGTATGATTGTAGTTAAAAATATTGTAACGTCAAATTGTATTCAGTTACATTGTCCTTTAAATGAATGTTTCTGTTGGGCAATAAATAATACATTATATTATTATTATTATTATACTGATCACCGTAATTGGCATTAATGCTTCGAACGAAAACCAGCGAAATTTTAAGTTTTTTCGTTCTCGCCGTAACATTAGTCACAGCCTAAACTTAATCAAAAATGTGTGTGGTACTTTCCGTGTGAAGCCATCCAAAATCTTATAACTTGTTTAGCGACGAAATTAGCCTAGTGAATCTAATTATTTTTTTCAAATCTGAATAGCGTGTACATGCTGATAACAATCTTGCAGATCCAAGTATTTGAAAATCAGTTCATAAACGTTTGTGTTCTGCACAAAAGTTAGCTGGGTCAAATCAGTCAAGCAAGTCCATCCAACTAATCTGTAGACAGCACCTATCTGACAAGGTTGCGATCTATAAACTTCCCGCCCTGCCGATAGTGCCAACCACTTGGCAATGCTGCTATGACCAACCTTACCACTTGCACGGCAGCCACTCCACCTCAATACTAATCCGTGTACCAGGTCAAAAAGTCTAGGTGTTTACTCTTAAGGTACAATTCTGATGTTATTTGCTCTTCTCCTTTTTTTTTTCTTTTTCTCTTTCACCTTGACATTGTCTGGTTTCTTGACAACCAGGACTGACAGATTCAACTAACATACATTAGACCGTGACTAAGGCCCGTATCGTCAGTCGTCCCTACAATTGTAGGGCGCCTTTATGGCCTCCTTGATTGTCATAGTTTTCTACTTCTCCGTGTCAGCGCTCTATTTTGAGGTTATGTCACAAACATCTATTTGCATCAAATTGTGCTTGCTTTTGAGTTATATCTTGTTTTATCAGCCTGAAATTTCCTACAATTTGAAAAGAAAACATATCTTCACAATAGGAGAGCGCTGACGCTGACACGGGACAAGTGTAATCTAGAAATTTTTGAAGGAGAGAAAGGAGTATGACAATCACGGAGGCCATAAACGCGTCCTACAATTGTAGGGACGACTGACGATACGGGCCTAATGGGCAAAGGTCCTACGGACTGGTCAGATAAACAAATGACGAATAGTAGGCAGCCACTCATCGGTCAGACTGCGACATAGGTATATCCAGTGCGGCGTATGTTGAAAATATATCCCTATCATATTATCAAGTTTTAAGGGCAAATGTACAGGAAATTGTATGAAGTGCAAAATATGTCTAATAGGTGCGTAGAATTACGGGGTTCGAAGGATATAAGTAAACTAAGTAAAATTAAGTTTTATCCTCCTCCACCCCCTACAGCCTCCTACCCCGATCCTTGTTCCCAACAAAAAATTTTCTACAAATGGTCGGCAGGGCTATTACGTAAAAAACGTCAAAAAACCGACAAAGTGTCGACTTGCTCTCTAGATATACTAAGTGACATATAAATCCGAACACCCAGTTTAAATGGTTATATTTTAATAAAATTTTGTATAAGTACTTAATGAAGCATAATAAGTAAACGATAAAAATTTCAAAATGATTGCACTGCTTTAAAGCCCTTTGACCTTTAATAATGTGTGGATGCACCCTGATGTGCTACGCATTCTCCAACGCGCCTACGCATGCTTCTGATCAGGTGGTCAATGTCCTCCTGTGGTATCTCATTCCAGGCAACCACCAACTCCTCTCGAAGTGCTTCTAGAGTCTGCGGAGGACGTTGCAAATTGAGCAATCTCCTACCCATCATATCCCACACGTGCTCAATTGGGGATAAGTCGGGAGATCGTGGTGGCCATGGTAACAATGTGACATCATTATGTTGAAAGAAGTCTATTGCTACTCTTGCAACATGTGGTCGGGCATTATCTTGTTGGAAAGTTAGATCTGCCAGGGTGTCAAGATAGGGTAAAAGATGGGGTTCTAGAACTTCGTGGATATAACGCTGCGCGTTCATGTTACCTCTGATGAAGATTAAAGGTGACCTGGAACCATACGCTATAGCACCCCAAACCATAACTCCAACACTATGATGAACATGTCTTTCAACAAAAAACTGTGGATTCCTCCTTTCACCACGTCGCCTTCTAATCCTAGCACGACCATCGGGCATACCTAAACAAAACCGAGACTTGTCACTAAAGACAATACTGTTCCATTTATGATCTCAGAGTAACCGTCGTCTGCACCACTCAAGGCGATTACGTCGGTGTTCTCGAGTTAAAGGGCGGACCCAGTGTGGCCGGTATGAAAACAAGCCAAAACTTCTCATTCGTCGGTAAACACTTCGCATGCCAATAGGTCTTCCGTGTTCTGCAAACCATTCATTTGCAATGGACCTGGTAGTGGAGAAACGGTCCCTTAAGGCCAATAATCTTAGGCGACGATCTTCACGGTCTGTTGTTCTACGGCGGCGTCCAGTGCCCCTTGCTCTTTGCGTACGGCCTTCTCGAAGCCATGACTGACAACACCTAACCACAGTGTCTACACTTCTTTGCAGTCTAACTGCAATTACCCGAAAAGAAAGTCCAGCTTCCCGAAGTCCCACTATACGGCCCCTATCAAACTCACTAAGTTGACGGAATCGTACAGGTCTCCGTACTCTAGGCATCGTAACCGATCGTAGAGGATGTCTAGAAACAAAATCCGCCAACGTTGATTCTTTACTGCGGCTGAAATATACATTTTTAGAGCGTTAGTAAATTAAAAAAAGCAGTATAAAAACCGGAATGTCCAACTGATAAGGCTGAAAATTTTTTCACTTGTTATTTACGGTAAGATAAATACATTCACCAAATTTTATTAAAATAAAACCATTTCGGATTTATATGTCACTTAGTATAGTTCCTAGTGTGCAAATAGTAGATCCGCATTTGTTCGCTATGAGCGCCGTGAACGTCCATCTGTATTATTTGCTATGTGAGAAAATCATTACTGAATATGCTGCCCATGAAATATATATATATCAGCTGTGCCATACGGGTTTTTTATGTTGTCCTTTCTGAAGAGAGGTTATGTTCAAAACTATACATTACGGTTTTCTCGTTTTCTTTCTTGCGTTTTCAAAAACATTGAGACGCATTACGGGAAATCGGCACCGCACCCGCGTTGTATGTAATTAAGCCTCATCACGGAATAATTATTAATTTCACATCAAGTACAAAACATTTTTTCACTGCCTCACGTTAGGCGCTGATTTGTATTTTCTACTTGATATCGTAAAATAAAGTTCTATAAAATTTTAATGACTGCCAATTAAAAATGAATGTGAAATGTAATAACTTATTTACGTTTCATTAATATCCATATATATACAGGGTGACTTTGAAGTTGAGTCATTAATTTTCAGATAATGATTGTAGAAGGAAGATAAACCAAAATATGTGTGTAAAAATAAAAAAAAATTAAAAAAAAATTTTACCTTGTTTTATAAAGTATCCTCCCGACAAGTATTTCAGTGCGGACCTGTATTTGATCGTGAGGTCCCCTGTGAGGTCTTAAGTCACCTGATTCACGAGCCCGTTGTACTACATTAACAAAGGCACGAGGGGTTGGTTGCACTCGATTGGGAAACCGATCCGCATAAACATGTGCCATTTTTTATTTCGTTTGAGCCACGCAACACATACCACTTTTCACTGACACTAACTGTATACAAATGAATGAGATACCTGTAAAAACATCGTTCCAAATTCTTTCGCTTTTTTTTTTCCGATGCGATGAACCGATACGGCGGATTATATCCATTGTCGCCAAACACGACCACATAATATTGTTATTGAGACAGGGCGGTACTCAAACTTCCAAAGGGCTATAACTTTGTTACTTTAATTTTACCAGGAAAATGGTAAAGGAAAAAAACATTTCTTTTGATCAG